GTAGAGGGGGGCGGAGTGGGGGCCTGGAGGCTCGTGTTCTCGCCCATGAGCATTTGCAGTGGTGGGCGGGGAGACAGCAGACGAGCGAGCCCCTCCCTGCCTGCCCCCCCATCAGCCCCGCAGGCCTTGCCCCGCTCTTCACGAAGCCGATCCAGCCGACACTCCTCCTCCTCAATCCCTCTCCAACACGCCTACCCATCCCTCCCTCTGTTCCCCCAATTGCAATGCCCCCCCCTTTCCCCACATCCCCTGCTGTGCACCCCAACATGCACCCGCTGCCCCCTCCAACCCCCAGGCGCCAGGAGCTGGAGGAGCGGTGCAAATTCTTTTTGGCCACTGATGACATCCTGGAGAGGGAGGGCCTCGAGGTGGGCAGCTTCACAAACACACACACACACACACGCGCGCGCACGCGCACGCACACACACACACACACACACACACACACACACACACACCGCTGCAGCGTCCGCGCATTGTGTGAATGAGGGTGTATGCCTAGAAAGGCTCTCTGACGTGTGCCGCAAAGCCGGGACTTGAGGTCTGGTCAATCCAAGGTTTCCAGCGTTTGGGGGGTGGGTGCCCGGCGGCGTGCGCCTTCCTCAGCCAAGGGCCCCGCAAGCTGCGCAGCCCGCGCGTCCGCCAGCCGGCCGAGGCCCTAAACCCTGCGGGGCCCGGCTGGACGGCGCTCTCCCACGGCCGCACCGGTGACAGAGCCATCGTGGGCGCTCACCACCCCTTTTCCGGCCCCCGGCTGTGTGCTGTCGCAATGTGGCTGTTCAGGTGGAGGCGGGCGGTGTTGAGGAGGAGGTGGCGCGGGCCAAGGCCCAGTTCATCGATCAGGGGCTGGGGGAGTTCAATGAGGAGGGGTTCAGGTGGGGGTGGGGGGCTGGTGCACGTGCGCATGTGGGCATGTGCGCGCGTGAGAGTGCACGTGTGAGCGCACGTGTTGTTGTTTGCAGCGTGTGTGCGGGCTGTGTGTGTGTGTGGGGCGAATGAGAGGCTGTTGGCAAGTGGCTGCAACGAGGGGGAGATGGGAGCGTTGGCGCGAGGGGGTGCGGCGCGCCCTCCCGCGCCTCGACCCCGCGGCCCCGGCCCCACGCCGCCAGCCTGCCGCCGAGCAGCCCCAACAGCCACGCGCGCTGCGCCCGCCCAATCTTCCACCATGTCCCTGCAGCCTACTTCTTGTTCGGTGCCCTCCCTGCCTCCAAACAGACCTCCCCTGCCCCCAACACCCCAACCGACCATCCCATCCCTGTGATCTCATGCCCCCTCCCTCTACCGCCCCAGGCTGGAAACTATGGAGAAGCTGCGATACCTGGCGGTCATGGAATACCTGCAGGGCACGGTCAAAGTCAACACCATAGCATGGCGGGGCGGCGCAGGCGCCGGCGAGGGCGGCGAGGGCGCGGCCCGGGAGCCGGCGGCGGCGGGGGCCGGGAGCGGGTGAACGGGCGGCGGCGTGAGCTCGAGGCTGGATTGATTAGCATAGGTGGAGGTTTCGTTTGCAGCCTCTTGGTTTGGACCCAGCAGGTTCCTATGGATGCTGTTTTTGACCACATGTAGACAGGAGCTTGCTGCTTTTCGCCGGTGGAGTTCAGACCTGTAGGCCCGCGGAATGGTCCGCGCGGCCGGCGGGGCCGCCGGATGTAAAGCAGGACCCAACACCCGCGGATGCGGGTTCCCGACCAGTCTTGCTGGCATGCCAGCAGAGGAACGCATGGCAGTCGCTGCGAAACAGGTGTCTTAGCCCCTCATCACTCAGAGCAGGACAAGCGAAGCACACATCTTGAAGGGCAGCAAACAGGCCCGCTGCCAAATCCATTCGTGTTATCTGATATGCTCACGAAGTTGCTGGGCCCTCCAGACCAGCATCCTGATTTGCTTCGTCATGCGGATGATGGCCCAGTCAATTGCTGGCTGCGGCGCGGTCAGGCACGCGCAAACTCGTGCCAATCCCGATGATGCGCGACTTCATGCTTGTTTGTCAAAGTATCTGGTCATTTAACGCAGCCCCGTACGCCCGCGTCTTTGCTAATCCTGACTTCGTTTTCGGCACTCCAGTGACCGTGGTGCCACACTCGCGTCGTAAACCAGCCACGCACAATCACAAGTGATTTGAGACTATCACCTCTTGTAGGCCAACCCGACACGCTGCGCATTGGAGGCTTCTTCGTCCCGGCACACCTGTTTCGGTCACCCTGACTCTGGTCGGCCCCGCTTCGGCCTCTCCGCGCTCCCGGAGGACGACTGCATTCAATTTGTACCGGAATCCACGCCAGCTTCTCGCGAACTGAGGGCAGTCACCGGCGACGCAACCCCTGCGCGCAGCCGCGGCCCGACAGCGGGAGCACAACAGAGACCGCCACGGCGTTTTCACAAGCGGCAGGATGTGTTTCACCAAGGAGATCACAGCGGGCATGATGCTGCTAAATCTGGGCACAGGGCTGCTGCTGACAAAGCGGGGGCACCACATTTCGCGCACCCAGGTGGGGCGTGCGCGCGCCACACACGGGAAGTCGTGTCACGGCTGCGTCACGTGCTGCACTTCTCGGGCAGGGGGGTAAGGGGAAGGGAAGTGCTTGCTGGGCTTCGCTCTGCCAATTGCCAAACATAAATCAAGCGCTGCCGCTCGCACAAGCATTCAAGACGGGGTGCTGCACGCGACTGTGCGCATGTGGCGCTGTCACACGTGCCTCAGCAAGGTGCCCCACACCCTGCCTCCAAACACACGCCCTCGTTGACACATGCACACACCGAGCCCAAACACATGTTGTACACCCAAATCCGCAGATCTTCTACACTTTCTTTGCGATGGAGGTGTTACAGTTCATCCAGCACTTTGTGGCGGGTGACTGCGACAACTGGATCAACCAGCTCACGACAGTGGTGGGTGGGGGCGGGCGCTGATGTGAGGGAAACGGCAGGGGAGCGGATGAGAGAGGAAATTGGAGAGGGATTCATGAGGGGAGGGGACCGCAGGCCATGCGAGGGTCTGGAATGGGGCAAGGAGGCGCATGATTGCATGAGAGCTTCAGTTCGACAAAGAAGGTCGGGTCGTCGTTCACACGGGAAAGCGCCGGCTGAGAAAATTGGGCCGGAACGCGGCCGCCAAATCGGCCAAGCACTGTCCCCTATCCTCCGGACAAAGATACGATTGCAGCGACCACAATTCCAAGCAACCACACACGCATCACCGACGCACCCCCTGCCCCCCTCCCCCCCCTCC